TGTCTCCCGCCGGTCTCCCCCGCTCCCGTTCCCTCTTGGTGGGTGCCCCCTCCCCCCCTTGGTGCCTTCTGCTTCCCCCTGCTCGGCCGCGCCGCCCTCGCCGGCTCCCCCCCCCCGTCGCTCTGCCCGCTTGGCTGCCCCCCGCCCGTTCTCCCTGTGGTCCCCTTTCTGCCCCCCCCTCTCGCTTCGCCTTCCGCCGGTCTCCCGCTCGTTCGGCCCCGCTTTCCCGGTTCGTCTTCGTCCTGGCCCTCCGCCTCCCCCGCGCTTTTCCCCTTCTGTTCCCCCCGCGCTTTCTGTTCTCGTTGCGCTCCTCTTCGGCCCCCTGCGTTCTCTTTTCCCCGCTGTGCCGCCCCCCGCCCCCTCCCCCTGCCCCTGTCTTCCGCCCGGCTCGGCCCGCCGCCCGCGCGCCTTGGGTCCCCCCCGGGCCCTGCCCCGCCTCCGCTTCCGCGCCTCCGTCCCCTCCCGTTCCCCGTCGTGGTCTTTCCCTTTCGCCTTTCGGCTCCCCCTTCTCCTCCCCCTCTCCCGTCCTTTCCCCCCGTCGGCCTCGCGTCCCGCTCCCCGGGGTCTTCTTTCCCCGCTGCTTCTGCCCCGCCCGTTCCCTTGGCTGTGGTTTCGCTGGCTCGTCGCCCGGGCCCGTGGGCCTCTCGTTCCTCCCTTCCTGCGCGTCCCTCCTTCGCTGCCGCGGCCTTTGGCTCCCTTCCGCGCGTCCTCGTTCCTCCCGCCGTTTCCCCGCGCTTGTTGCCTTTCTTCCCTTTGCCCTTCCGCGCCCTGGGCCGCCCTCCCCTTGCGTTCGCCTCCGCCGGGCCCCTCGCCTGCTTTGTTTTCCTTCCCCGTCGGCTTCCCCTTGTCCGTCCCCGTTCTGCGTTGGCTGTTCGCCGCCGGGGCCGGCCCCCGCCCGCGCCGTTCCCCCGTCCGTCCCCCGGCCGGCCCGCGGCGCCCCGCTCTCGCCGCGGTCGCCGCTCGCGCCGTCCGCCGCCCCCGCCGCCGGGTTCGGGCCTGGGCCCCCCCCCCGTGCCCCGCCCTCCGCGCCCTCCTTTTCCCGCCGTTCCGGCTCCCTTTTGCCGCCTTCCCTTGCCTCCCTTGTTCCCTTGGCCCGCGGCTGTTCCCCTTGGCGCCCTGCTGCGGTTCTGCGTCCGCCCGGGCGTGGCCGGCCCTCGGTCCTCCGGCTTTTCCCGGGCCGCCGGGGGCGCCCCGGCCCCCCCGCGCCGTGTCGGTGCTCTTCCCGCCGCTGGCCCCTCCCTCCGGCTGCGCCGTTTCCCGGGTGGGCCGGCTGTTCCCCCGCCCCGCTCCCTCTTCCCGCGGCCCCGCCGCCGTCTCCGGCCTCCCTCCCGTTGCGTCCCCCGCCCCGTCCCGGTTCCGGCCTTTTCCCGCCGCTTCCCTTTCGGCGCCCGGCGCCCCCGCGCTGTCTGTCGGGCTTCCCCCGCCCCTTCGGCTCGCCTCCCCCTGTGCCCGTGCCGTTCCCCTGGCCCCTTTCCCCTCTTCGGCCTTCCCCGTTCTCCTTTGCCTCTTTGCTCCTCCCCCCCCGCTCTGCCCCGCCGGCCGCTCCGCCCGGGCTCGCGCCCCCGGTTTTGGCCGCGCCCGCCGCGCCCTCCTCCTCCTCGGGGCCTCGCTCTTGCCCCGCCGGCCGGGTCTCGGTCGCGCGCTTCCGCGCCCTCCCTTTTCGGGGCTCGTTGCTTCGGCCGGTGCGTTGTTCCCCCCTCCTTCGCGGCTTTCGCCTTCCCTGCCCCCCGTCCTGCTGTCTTCCTCGCCCCCCCCCTTTGTGGGCTCTCGGTTCGCGCGCCGTTGGGCCCCGTCCCCCGGCTTCCGGTTCCTCCCGCCTCGCCCGTTCTGCTTCCCCCCCTGGCCCCCTTGGCGCTGTTGCTTCCGTGGCGCGGCTCCCCGCCGCCGCCGCGCCGTCCTCCCTCTTTCCCGTTTGCGCCTCGGTCGCGGGCGTTCCGCCCCCGCTGCCTCTCCTCCTTGGCTTTCCCCGCTCGCCCTCTCGCGCCCGCTCCCGCTCTCCTGCGGGCCCCTTCGGCGGGCCCCCGCTCCTCGCCGGTTCGCTTCGTCTTTCGCCCCTCTCCCCCCGTCCGCCGCCCGCTTTGCCCGTCCGTCTCGCTGCGGGCCTCCCCCCGCGTTTCCTCTGGCTTCGCCCCGCTCCGGCCTCGTTCCCCCTCTTTCGGGTCCCGCCCGGTCTGCTCGCCCTCGCCCCCTTCTCCGCCGCTCCCGGTCGGTCGGCGGTGCCCCCCCGTGCGGGGCTCCCGCCCCTCCGCTTCCTTGCGCCTTCCGGGTTTCCTCGCCCGTTGCCTCGCCCCCCTGTCCGCCTCCTTGGTCCGTGTTTCCCGCCGGGTCGCCTGGCGCGCCCCCGGCCCGCGCCCGGCGCGCGCCGGTGCCGCGGCCCGCCCGGGGCGCGCGCTGCTTCCCCCGCTCCCGCGCCGCCGTTCCGCGGGCGTCTCCCCGGCCCGGGCTTTGGCCGCCCCCCGCCTCCTCGCTGGTCCGCGCCCCGCGTCGCTCGGCGGCCCGG